AGCTGGTGTTAACATGCTGCGCCTCCCCTCTCTATTGGCATCTTATCAGGCACTGTGCTTTCCCGAGCCTCTTTTTATACCCAACCAATTATGTAACGACCCCGTCCTTTGCCCCCCCCCCCCTCATGAAAGGAGAAATATAAAGCGCAGCGTCCAGGAGGAAGCAACGTTTGTCCGTCAGCTACTTGTCGCTGAAGAAAGAGCATATTTTTCTAGTTGCGCTGAAGCCGATGATAAATTCACATGTCACATTAAGCGTGTTTTCCTTGGAGGTGCCTGGCATGGTTAGGAGGCAGAAGAAGGTCTTGGTTACTGGTTCTTTTTGGGGGTTGGGGCCGGCTGTATCAAGCAGTTTAATCCACATTTAGGGCACTAAGGCGGCCTACTTTTTCCTTGAGCCTCAGTTTATTCAGAGTTACGTTCATGCGAATTGAAACAACAGCCTACAGTGTCATTGAACTGAGTGTGTTGCTACTTTTCTTTTGGTGCTCTTGTGAGGGTCAAAAAATTCGAAGTCAAAGTCTGCGTCTTGTCGTTTGTGTATGAAAGCACCTAAACTTCTGCTTCCTGATGAAATACTCAAGGCTGCTACAGAAAGAAGATAAGAAAACCAAATGAAAGGACAATACCATCTCTAACAAGCCAGAACTTACCCACCATTGAATGTTTTACACATCGTGTACTTCGATTCAGACCACAACTCTTTACGTTACAGTCAAAATGCTGCTTCAGCTTAGCAGCAAAATGACTTTTTTTTAAAAACTATTTCCATTTGTGTAATCGACTTCCAGTGCTAATGGCATTAACAGTGCTAATAGCATTGGATTGGCATGGAATTATATAAATTACATCGGATAACTGTTATGTTATTTGTCTTCTCTGTATGGACACGGTTCCACTCACCAACACGCGCCTTAAAACCATAAAAGTACTTTTTGTAAATTCAATTTTTTTCAAACAAAGACTTACAGTACGAAATAATGAGCGTGTCCAACTTGGCTGATGTCTTCTGCGAGCCGCTGCACGTGACGCCACGAGCGCGCGTGTCTTTGTGCTTCCCTGTTTGTAACCGAGTGAATTAATGAAACAAGTTGCACCACATTGTCTTCATCACACCTCAGAACGGGTCCCCAGACTCCCAGCCGGAGCAGCTCGACATGAAACAACGAGCTCCCCCGCGCATCTACCAACATTGAAGCTGCTCCCTTCATGGAGCATAATGAATAATGCACAGCGAGGCGGGGGGTGTGTGTGTGTGTGTGTGTGTGTGGGGCTGCTTCCTAGCAGCTGTATATATAATGAATGTAATGTGTTTGTGCAGTTTGTCTGATTAGGTGAGAGCCTGTCATATATCTCGTCCCTTAAGGGTGCAGACGCTGCTCTCTTTGATTTGCCTGCGACTGAAAACGATGCAGAAATGATTTTGCAATTGATGTCGGAGTGACGGATGCACAATCAATTGTTGTCATGCGGCGGTCGGGGCCCCGCCAGCCTCTGATGGATGGCGCTGTCGATACCTGTATTGCCATTCAGGTCTATTGACCTTTCTCTGAAGCATGTTAGTACCACTTGGCCCGGTCATTATGGCTTTGATCCAGATGCCAGAGGTCGACATCGGGGGAGTCGCCATCCATCACAAGGAGGGAGAGAGAGAGAGGAGTTAAACCGAGCGATGAGGGAGAATCGGGAGAGCGGATACAAGGGAACACAAGGAATCGATAAAGATGGAACGTACAGGTGCAGGTACAGCGGAGAATGTAGAAGCAGATGTTGAAACATGTGCATTAGGCCTAAAAAACACAGTCTGAACATCTGCTGTGTTAATTCGCGTTGGCATTATAAGTAGTTAAACGTTTTTTCAGAGAAGCTCAAGTTCTTGATCCTTCACTAAATCAGCTGATTAGGATGGAGGCGACTGCATCTCCAATGAGCGGCTGGGTGGTTCCATCCCCGGCTCCGATGTCGATGCGTCCCAGGGCCGGACACTTAACCCCATTGTCTGAAGGGGTGTGAATGGGTGTACGATGACATGTATTGTGAAAGTGCTCTGAGTGGTCCGTAAAGGGCTCGACGAGTACGAGCCCTTTCATCGTCGTGACCAAAATCCTTTTCATGCGACCAAAATTCATCAACTATTATTATGACGTTTTGTGTAACTTCTCATCAAAATAATGCAAGTTTAAGAAACTTCCGCCATGAGACACAATAGTTGTCAGGATCTGTATTAATTGTTTGCACGTGTACGTTGTTGTTTCAATACGTCACATACACAACGTGTAGTAAATTAAAGTTGCGTCATCGTATTAATCATTTAGTTACTCTCTGCATTTCACCGGAACCTTTGAGTTCATCAAGCCACGTTGAACAGCGACCTCTGTGCATGCGCTGCAGGCGTCACTTCCACACTAAACCGGCTGATTTCAATGTCTTCTATTTTTATTCCCGCTCGCGCTCTGCAGAAACAGTACGTCCAGAAGAATGGCTCGTCCTCCTGTGGACGCAGCCTCCATTCCCTTCAACATGTCACATCATTAGAGCAACAGCTTTCCCCCTTCAAAGCCTTCTTATCAAATGGACCACGGCTTAGAAGAATTAGCAGGACCTTGATAATTCCACTCACTACCTGTAAAGTGGTTAATTCGTTGTATGTTTTAAAGGATCAACAATGATTATATAATTTTAAATAATGACATGTGGCTCATCGCTGCACTGCAAAAAGGCACTAACTCATTTCTGTAACTATCCGGAATCATTTTGTTATGAAGGTGCAGTTTTTCAAACTTTGCTCGGTGAGAACTTTTCCCACACATGGTCTCTGTTGGTTGGTGCTTTTAAATGATGGCTCAGTTGTCTCTCTGTCAAGCATTTAGTTTAGCCCAAACATTTTAACATATTACGGTAACCTTCGTTTTACGAGATCAGAAAGCTTCATTGCAGCTTGCATTGAAACTTATATAAGCACTGCTGCCTTTGGAATGTGGTAGCAAGAGTCCAAGCGATAGAGATGTAGAAACTGTAACACGACAGTCAGAGAGAAAATTGTAATATTTTTGTTATTTTTGGCTGCTGCAGGTACCGGCAGCTACCGCATCTCAGAGTATCGGGCCTGCGATACAGCGCTGAGTGAATGTTCCTGGTGATAACCTCCTTTGCAGGGTTCTGCAGTCCCTCGTCACCGTTTTATAAAATACTGTCAACACACTTTAAAACTCACGGGTCTGCAGCTCAGACTCATCTTCTGGGAATCCATTTCACAGAATGCCTTAAAAAAAAAGACAAAACAGACTTCTGTTCAATAGGAAACAATACGGGTGGTGTTTCAGTAAATTTGTTATATGCTTCATGTTATTGTTAATATAAAGAGGGAGTCAAAGGATTTTGTTCCCTTTGTTACTCTAACGTGTCAAGGACCCTCTGTGCCGTCTAATGTTGCTGCAGCATCAATTATAACCTCTTTTTCAGTCTTAAGTGGCCCATTTCTCATCCTTTCTTCAACACTGACGGAACTGTGCAGCCTTTTTTGAAAGCAAAAGACTGACGATTGCTATAAATAAGATGAGAACTTGCTGTGTGTGTGTGTGTGTGTGTGTGCGCGCGCTTCCTCTGTCGATCTTGACAGCAGGGAACCCCAGAGCGGGAGAAGACCTCCCATCTGGAAGCTGCTGCATCTCTGATCTCCCACCGCCTGTTATTGAAGCACTAGTCAAATCACCTGGATGACTCCACGCACACAGCAGTGTTAATTATATTCATGTGGGATTCGGGGAACAGAAGGAAATGTATTTATGTTCCTGTTTCGCCTTCGCTGAGTAGAAACACATTCAGTAGAAGTGCTCGTCCCTCCTCTTTTGTTTGGGAAAGTAAACTCTTAAAACATGCATGTGTCACCTTTCCAGCTCCACGGTGCATTCATTCATTCATCTTTATTCATAATACACATTCACATGCGTTTCAGCAACACATTAAAGACTTTTCTGCACTTTTAAAGTGTATCCAACGTAACATTTCTGTTCTCACAGTCGAGAATCGAGCTGCCGCCTGGAATTCAGAGTCCTCGGATTAGAGTCACAGCAGAAACAAATCACATTCTTAATGGCGTCTCCATTTCCTTCTCTAAACTCTCCCCTCTTCCCCCGTCTCCACCTTCGTCCGTGTTATGCAGCGCAGCGGCAAGACGCTATCTGGTGGTTGTTAATTACAAAGTGTGGCTACAGATCACTTTTACGGCCCCCTGGCTGCAGATCGCCGAGCTCTGAGCAGCGTCCCACAGTAGCAGTTTATAACACCGTTAAGCAGAATTCGGCAGTGAGGTCTGATCGCACCCCGGCTCCACCCCGCTCATCTTCACCGCGCTCGTCTTCACCCCGCTCGTCTTCTCCCGATCGTCTCCCTCCTTGTGAGGAGAGTCGGGCCGGACGCATACAAAACGAGATGAAAAGAGAGGATGTGGAGGACGAGGTGGTGGACTGACGTTTAGATTCAGGAAGATGGACAGACGGATAGATGGACAGAGCTTTAGAGCTTTAACTTAGCCGTCCTACTGGTGATGCTACGAGAAATTTCTGAAAAGTCCTCTGGGGACCATGAACGTCTGTACAGAACGACTCTGCGCTCCACTCAGGAGGAATCTGGAGTGAGGACCAAAGTGGTGGCTGACTTACACTGCAACCTAAGGCCACGCGACCCGCCAGGCTAAAACGGGTTCCACATAAAATAGTCCCTTAGGCGATGGGACGAGTGTAATACTCGAAAAAAAGTACCTTTACGAGGACGAAACAGTGGGATGGGGATACGCATGAACAGCCAGGTTTAAAACAAGGCAATGAGAGGTCGGACGTGTGTGAGGACTCCTCTGAGATCTGCAGAGCAACAGACGAGTGACACAGCTACACTTTGTTAAGCTCCCATCGCTTTCTCGCCAATATAATCTGAATTTTTTTGATTGCTAATGTACAGTTTGAGTCATCTCAGTACCTCATCGTCTAATGTTTGCGTTTCAGGGTGAGTGGAACGAGCCCCTGAGTCGACCTGGCTGACGCTGAACCACCACTATGCGTCTCTGCAGTGCTGAGGTGGTGCCGCACCTGCTCCAGACGCACTAACCCCGCCGCCAGGGGTTCACCCGATGGCCGCCCGGCCCCGCCAGGCCCCAGCTCGCTCAGCGCTCAGCGCACGCTTCCCCCGTCGCCGCCATGAAGACCGCCAGCCGCGCGCAGCCCCGCAGCAGTCCTCCGCTGGTGCAGATGAGGCGCTACACGCCCGGGGTGTATCCTTTCCTGTTCCCGTCCATCATCAGCTCCCTGCCACAGCTGCCGCCGCCATCGCCGCAGAGGCTGCAGGTCCAGCAGCCGTCCAGCAGCGGCAGCACACCCTCGCCTGTCGGTGAGTACTCGCCGCACGCGCCGGCCCAGAGGGCACAGATGTGACCCAGCGACCCTTTCGGAGGCCCACAAATCAGCTGCATTAAATGAAGCCATTTGTGTCTCCAGACGGAGATGTTACGGGATAAAGATCTTTGTGCAGAAGTGAGGTAACCTCACGTCTCTGACAAAGCTGTCGGCAATCAGGTTGCATCAAGGGTAATTTATGCACCTGGACTTGACTAGAAAGGTAATGTGTGGAAAAAATATAATAATAATTCATTTATAAACTGTTGTTTTCCGTTTGATCGATAGAAGGGACTAAAAGTCAAGGCGGGTTGGTTTAGTTTTTCATCAATCCATTTATTTTAGAGTCCTTCTCGTCTGAAGCTAAATAAAATTCTAGTACCATAGAAATCCATATTTCTTTCTGGACATTGAAAATTGAGATTTTAGTGGGGGTTTTTTTTTAAACCACTGAGGTGTGTCTACATGAAAGATGTGAAGGACTTCGTTTGATTTTAATCACACCGAACACAATAACAGACGGACCGAAGCAATGCGTCGACTCTCGTGATGCCAGAGCGCTGCTGTTTTCAACTATTAGCAAGTCGTGTTTAGTCGCTCTCGTTCCCTCCACCACCTCAAAAATCTGCTCCGACATGAAAACCAGCAGGCGGGTTCATCCCGAGGGTCCGGGGGTCCGGGGGGGGGGTTCTTCTCACAGTGAGGGGCTCAAGTTTGCAGCTCTTTGTGCCGCCGAGCTCTGAAGTGTAAATAGACCCAATACAGAGAGTCAGTTTCAATACTTGTTTTTGTTGAGCAGAGTTGGAGTTGTTGTTCAGAAATTGCCGTATCTGATCAAACACAATCGTCTCATCATGGAACCAGCGAGCGATCTTCAAACAGTTTACAGTGTAAACTGTTGATTAGTATTTTAATCCTTCTATTCATGCATCTTTAGCAGGAACTACGCTTTTGTTTAAGATATATATATATATATATATAATATTTACTATCATAAGGCCTGTTACGTGTCACATATTTTTAGGCCCATTTTGTCCCCCCTGTCACTTTCTCTAATTCCTGAAACATTGCAACTTACTTATTGAACTATATTTTAGTCCTATGTAAAACGCATTGGAATAACAAATTTATTTGTAGAAATATTTTGCATTTTTGCTTAATGATTCTGGAAATACATTTGTAAAAACGAATAAAAATATCCTGTGAGCCATTGGTCCATTACATCCTTTCATTAGGATAATTTACAGGTAAAGAATAAACTGTAATTGTGGATTTTCTAAGAATGGATTTTGTTATTTTGAGAAATCTAACCAGATCCATGAGCCCTTCGATCATCTTATGACCTCCTTGGTCCCAGGAGTGACCTATGACCTTTAGTTTGGAGTAAGATACCTGAGTTCAATCAAAGAGAGGGAAGATTGTGTCTTCATATTGCCCGAATCGAACCACATCAAAAGTTTAAAAATACCAAACGCACAAAGTCAGTTCCGGTGTTTGCAAGCAACATGAGAATAATATCAATACATTAATGTGATCTGGCCTCGCTGACTGGGGCAGGACAAAGTGTAGACTTCAAATATACAACCATAAATATTATAAAAACAATAACAAAAAGAGTACAGATGCTGTCTTCTTCTTGATCATCCTTTGGTGTGAAATAAAGTAAACACCGTGTTATTCTCAACATTAGAGACGAAACAATAAATGCGAGGCTGTCTGATGCTGATACGACTGAACTTTGGACGCCAAGAAGAAAAAAAAAAAACACAGATGAAACAAACAGTGAGGTAATGAGCGCCGCCGCTGAACGGGGGGGTTTGTGGATTAACGCAAACGATCCGGGACGTTGCGGTGTCTCCCGGGGACGCGCTGAAAGACTCGCTGTCCCTGGGTCAGCGGTCCGGCTGCCTTCTGCCTCCACTGGGAGGCTCACAAAGGGAAATTAGCTCCACCGCGAGCGGCGCGTGTACCTCCAGAGAGCCCGTCAGCATCAGCGAGCAGCGCACGGGTATGAGGGGGATAAAAAGAGGGAATTGAAACAAAGGAAACGTTGTAATGAAATAATATTGTTTTGCACCTTATTCTGAAAACTGTAGCGGCTTTTAAAAGAGACTTTTCAACACAATCGGTACTCATCTCGCTGCTGCGGCTTAAACAAACCAAGCAGGTCTGCACACGATATGCATTCACGTCTCACAAAGAGGAATAGAAACTAATGGCTGCTTCAAAAGGAATAAAAACATGCATAAATATGACATGAAGCTGATAGGATTTGTGATTCATGCGCAACACACATTTATTACATTGCCTGTCTGTAGAAGTTTAGACACATTTAGGCATTTAAAATGAAGATGAGTTCTTAGTAGAACCGTTGTTCAAGGATATGCTTTCTTTTTTTAATCGGCAAAGATGTACAATTAAAGGCCCATCGCTCCTTCAAGGCCAGTTTATACCAAAATACTGGCCGGCTAAACAGCTTCATTAGCAGATTGTAAAACCAGTCAGCGAGCTGGTTAAACAGATCCCGTCCTCCGCACACCTCCACCCGTCTACCCATCTCTCGCTTCTCCTCCCATCCGGCCTTGAGGGGCACTTGTGACCTGGCCGTGACCCACCTGCACGCGACCCCGACAGATCATCAAAGCCGGCCTTCTGACGCGCTGCTCATCTCATACGGAGACGCGCTCCGTCGCCCGCGAAATGTCGCTCCCCCCCCCCCCGAAATCCGGCTGGCAGCGTCCGGCCTCCAGCAGAGAGAACGTCCTGTCAGCGGCACGCGCGTATCTGAAGGCAGCGCGTCAATGTTTATGTGGTCAATTTCATCGACGTGGATCGGAAGGAGGCGGCTCCATCGCTGGAAGGTGCGGAAGGCTGTTGTCATCTATTCATTAATGGCTGATACGAATGCAAAGACGGCAAAGGAAACCTCGGTTGGGCAGCAGTAATCTCGACAGAGGGAACGGAGACGAGGTGCTGCAAAGGTTGTCCGTGGGATGATTGATGGCAAACTCGTTCATTTTCTGTGTGAAACAACGTCTGCGTTGACTTATTTCACCTCTCATTTCATAACTTCCACCCTCCGTTAATGAACCATCTTTTGTCCACCTTTAATTTGAAAATACAAAGTATGAGACATATAGTTGAACATCAACGTGGTGCGACATTGACTCCTGCTGTGCTGACTGTGTGTTCTGTAGGATATTAGAAATAAATATACGACCTGGTTCATAAAATTAATAAAAATGCATATAGTGTACACCAGAATACAGCCATGATTCTGAAACTGTGTAATCAATAAAGTAATGACAATATTGTAAAACCGCTGTACTTCTGCAACTGTAATAGAATAATACCAATGTAGTTCTGATTGTATTTGATGTAATGTAATCAACTGGAAGGCATGCATGTAATACTTGCACAACAACTGATATTGACTAAGGATCATTCGAAATCCGAGTCACATTGAACTCACCAGAAGACCACTCCCAGAGGTGTGGACACTGACTTTCACACCTTCAAGTATTGTTATAAATACCTGTAGGAACCATTGAGTTCGCTGGTGGAGGCTACAGACGGGCACTAGGGATGGTCAAAGGACTGACCTGGGGCCTGTTGGTCGCTGAGACCAGCGGCTCCTCAGCTGAGATGTTCCTTTTTACCACAACACCTTCTCTTTTATTAAATACATTTGATTTTAACCTTTTGATCAGCGATGACCTCCGTCCGTCCGGCGTTTCTTCATTTTTAAACACAACAATTCTGAAAAAGTCAACTTGGCCTCCATAATCAATTCCATCCATTCCACCTTGGGTAAATAACGCGTGTCTTTCTGACAGCGACAGTGGAGGTGAACTCACGCACGTTCAACCAAAATGGCCGCGTGTCACCTTTTAAGCAGCGGCTTCACGTACCTCACGCGGGCGGCGGAACCACGAGCCGTGAGACGGGAGGAGGAAGCTCACTGTGGTAACAAAACGCACGTGTGCAGCAGCGAGTTACGATACGGACGCACAAACGCTTTGACGCTGTGTTCACGCAGCCCACTTAACACGCTGATACAACACGTCTGCTCCCCTCTCACCCAGATAGACGCATCCCCTCATCCTGCGCCCCCCCCCCCCCCTCCCCTGTCTTTGTCTGCCGCGCTCATTTCAAGTCACCGTCTGCCCGACTGTGTGTCAGTGTTTCCCTGTTGTTATTTTAGAATCCATCGCGGGGTATTTAGGTCACATGCGGCTTCTGGTCCCGGCGAGGTATGAATAATGCAGACTCCTCTCATTACACTGTGCGCTAACCCTCTGGATTGAAAATCAATGTGCACTCAAGTGGCTGGCGAATGAGTGGATCTACGCACCAGAGAGGAACCGAGGGTCTCCGTGACATCAAGGTTTTAAACAGCGGTTCTATCGTAGACAGGTTCCAACCCTTTATAAAACACAACGTGCTTTTCATCTGCCGTCTGGAGGGCCGAACGCGATGAGAACCCCCCCCCAAAAAAACAAAAGTACGGAAAAGATTATTGGTCACCGGCAAAGCATGAAAACCAGACCATTGTCTGTTGTTGTATGACGGATGGAAGAAAGAACTGGGAGTTTTTTTTACCCCCACAGTTTCCAACCTCTCAGTGCACTCCCTCCCCCGGTTCAACCATAGTTCACATTGCCAGGATTTCTCCACAGACGCCCCCCCCTCCCCCACCACTCGTAGCACTCGGAGAATCCTCTGCATACATGCTGCTTGGCATTCCACACACAGCCCACAACGTGTTTACCACCATGAGCCACAGTTTGTCTCCGGTTTTTGGAAAGGTGCCCGAGCCGCTGGAAGCAACACCAGCTTCCCGCTGTGATCACATCAGTCGTGGGGTGTTTTTTTTAACTTAATGGTGAGGGATTTTTTTTTTTTTTATATATTTTTTTTTTTACGGGAGAGACCCCCCGACATCTGGCACACATCTGGAGCTGTTTAATGAGAGGCTCAGTCTGCGGCATCAAT